ACAGTCGGCCACCTCTTGAACCATATTGACTAGAGAGACAAAGGTAAGGCATTCCAGAAAGCAAGAAGTGCCATCCAATTAACCAACTTTGTTCTATGTTTCTGTAGTCCATTTCATTCTTAGTTTACACAAGTCAGCCTAAATTTGAGAATTTTAAGAAATAGTCTGTCAAAGAGGATTTAGAAAACACTTTATAATCCTGATTCTCACAACTCCTTAAGAATTTTATCCTTCATAAGCCTGTATTTCTTTGTATTATATATGTATATTTTATTTATCCACTTCTTATTTTAAGAGGAAAAGGTTGAAAGAAGGAAATGCTAAGCTTTGAAATGCTAATCAGGGGAAATATTTTAGCCAAGATTACACTGCTGTAACAAACAATCCCCAAAAATCCAACTGTGTAAAACAATGAAAGCATTCATGCCCATAGTCAGCAGAGGCTCTGCTCCCACCTCACCCTGTGGGTGGAGTCACCACTGTCTGGGGCATGGCCTCTCCTGTAGGAGAGGGAAGGATGACTCTGGAGGGTCTCTGGCTGGCCAGGAAACAATGCTCAGAAACAGCAGGTCTCTCTTGCATTCACAACTCCTCAGCCAGAAATTGTCAGATCCCACTGGACAACCAGGGGACTGGGAAGTGCAATCCACCTCTCTGCCCAGTGGGAAGTGTGGAAGACTGCACAGAATCCCACTATGAGCATGAAGGCAGGTTTTGCTACTCATTCTAAGGAGTTTTTATGGGGCACTTAGAGGTCCAAAGTACAATTTAGGTTGCCAAGAGGGTCCAACAATGACTTCAGGTTAAATAGTATGGAACAAATCAGGATATGTGGGTGCAAAAGTCATTTCAGCATCAGGAAATAAGTCGTAAGAGTCACACTGACAGGAAAACAATCGAGGAATTCTAAAGAGGGAGAGAATTCTTTTGACTTACATGACTTAGGAAAACATCATAGAAGAGGTGCTTAGATAGCAGCATGGATACAGGAAAAGATTTTAATGTGCAGTGATGGGACCCAGGACAAGAAATAAAGGGGATTTCTAACCAGTGGAAATAACGTGACCAGAGTTGTACCTTTTGACAGAACTGCTTTTAAACTTCTGCATATGTTGTCAGTACTACACTGACAAAAATCCACATCTTTTCTTTTCCCTTCTCTCAGGTCCTGATACCTTACAGTGGTCATAATGGATATTAGAGACAATATGTAGAATCTAACCTTGATTACCACAAGGTGCTGTTTTATTACCACAGTTCAGAGTGTGTGTGCGACTAAGAGAGCATGCACGTGTGAGTACATTTGTGAGCATGTGCCCATGAGTGTGTGGTGCATGTCTACATATGCTGAATTCTGAAGAACACTTGGAGAGTGTTTGTGAAACCCAATGCATCCTTGTTAATAATCAGACTGCAAGGGAAATAATCTTGATTTTTGACAAGAGGAAAATAAACATTTCACATCTACTTTATATTCCTTTGTTGTCACTAATAAATTCCATAAATTTCATCTTATATTCATTATGAGTGGGTCGATTGCCTTAGTTTTTTCCTGGCCCTTCAACTGCTATCCTTATAGAAGATCAGCTGGAAGTTGGAGGTTTACTTTGTTTTCCTACATGTAAACAAACTTCTATGTTACTGGAGGCAAAGTGAGTGTGAGGAGTGTAAGCGTGAACAGGTGAAAATAATAACAACGATAACTGAAGGAGGTGGGTATAGGCAGTCAGCTAGGAACAGGGTGCCCCAAGAACCCAAGTCCATTTATCAGTCTAACTGGAGAGCAATTGACTGTAATCCTGCTCCCCCGCCCCACAAAAAAATAAACCCAGTGAAGGGTGGAGTGTCCAGAACACCAAAACAATAACATAATGCTAAAACCACAGGCCAAAGCTAATTTCAGAAAGATAGGCCAGGTATTGTGATTAAACTCAGTGGACGTCAGTATCTGAAGAAACCCCCATGGGTACAGCCATTCAGCAAGAGACAACATGGAGACACCCAACAACCAAACCCCCACTCTTGCCCACTACACCCATATAAGTACCTACTTCTTGCCACCTTAGTGGGCTACCCACTCAGTGCCCCTCTATGATTGGAGAAATTTCTTGTCCTCCCTCTAATCTATGAATCTCTTGCTTTTCTGTAACTTTGGGCTTAATGTTGAATTCTTTTCCTTGCTGAAAACAAGACCCAAGAAAGAGTCCACCCATGGTCCTCGGACTCTGGGCCTGCTCCCAGAACTCCAATTCAATAACTATTATGAACATGGAAAGTGAATTTATATTTGATAGTCTGAGACAGACACCTGCCTCTTTTGAGCCAATGATTAATATACTGGATGGGTAGAGCCAAGGCCATGGAATGGGAAAGTCAATGAAAGTAAACACGAAATGGGAAAATACAGAGCCAATGAGGCCATAACCCAGTGTAATAGAGGAGTAGGGGCAGACTGAACCATGACCTGGGGGAACCCCCCCAAAAGTGTGGAGACCGCCTGTGGACTATTGAGTGCTGCCAGCATCCACATTCACACTGTCAGGAGCAGCAACGACTCAGCAGACGCCAGGCATTGTTGATCAGGAGGCTGTGGGCTTCAAGAATCACTCTACTGTTCTGGGACTCAGCCAGGCAAGGGCAGAACACCCCAGACAGCTGCCAGGAGCAGACTTGTTCCTGGGTGCCCCTCAAGACCAGTGATGTAACGGCACACCTGTAACTGACAAAGGCCTCTAGGTGGAGCCAGGTAGGTGGAAGCTCTCTGCCAGCTAATCAGTTTCCTCACTGTCAACCTTGGGGCAATCCCTGCACAGAGCAGACCAGGACCCTCACCCAAATACCACTAGTTTGCTTCCTGGAAAACAGCCATTAAAAGGGCTAAAGGGGAACTGGCTATAACAAGCAACCCTCCCCACACTGCAAGAGACTTAGAGATCTGGCAGGCTTCCCCATTAAACTTGGCTATCAGCAATGCTTCTCAAACTTTATTCCACATTTCAACTGACTGGGAACCTTTTTTAGTTTGCTTTGTTTGAAATTTTTATTAAAGTAACATTGGTTTGTAATAGTGTGTAGGTTTTTGGTAAATGGTATTGTAAATCAATATCTGTATATATGACATTAAGTTCACAGTGAAAAGTCTAATTCCATCCTTCAATGTACACTGACCTTTTTTATCCAATTTTCCCATTCCCTTTCTGGTAACCAGAGGGCATTAAACTAAGCAAGGTAAGCCAGATGGAGAAAGGCAAACACTATGGTTTTAATCATATGTGGAAGATAAAGAAACAAAACAAAAATAAACTCTTGGACTATAAGAACCCACATTCCAGACCCATGAAATTATAATTTCTGGGGTAAGCCCTGGGTATTAATAGTTTTCAAAACTCCTGTGTACAGTGAAACTGGACAAGTAGATCATAGCCTTGCTACTTTTATTGGGGTCCATGAACCAGCTGCCTCACCATGACCTGGGAGCCCACAGAAATGCAGATTCCCAGGCCTTCCCAGCCCAACTGACTCAAGCACCGTGGAATCACAGTCCCCCAATGCTTTATGTACATATTAAAGCTAGTAGGCACCGCATGGGATGCTCTCTAATGGGGTCTAATGGGCTTGCTGATTGTAATTAGCTGCATAAAGGGAAAGATCTCTGAATAATGCATAATAATGACCTGGGGGGTGGGGGACGCAACATGCAGACAAGAAGACCCTCTAGAGAGTTGAAGAGGCTTTAAGAAACTGGAAACTTCTGGTGGATTGTTGGGTTTGCACAGATTAATTTTCACACTTCCATAGCCCTTCCAAACAGAAGCCTGCAGAGTCAGAGGATTTGTTTCACTGACAGCCCAGTACTGTGAATACACAAGTGTCAGCAACATGGACAAGGTACGCAGCAGCTTTAATGCTTTGTATTTATCATCAATTTAATCCTCAGGGCCACCCACACTGCTGCACATGGTAATAATTCCCTTTCTGCAGAAGCACCGTGGAGTTAAAAGCTGCCCATAGTCACCTCGTCAGTGGCAGAGGGAGGATTCTATTTTGTTTTTATATGTCGTCTTGCTTTTCCTGTGTTACCAAAAGTCAGCTTTACCTTACAGTGCTGAGAAGGAAGATAAAGGACGAGAGGTGCCAACCAGGAACTGCCCAGGAACCATGCTTGGGGAGGGGGGGGGGACTTTCTGTATCCACCCCACTTAATAACATATTCTGATGATGAGCCAGGAAGAGGGGCCAAGACAGAAGGAAGATGCTTCACCCCTCCCAGGAAGGCACTGCCTGCTCCTTCCCTCCTACCCCATCCTGCCTGGAGGTCTGTCAGCCCTGACATGGAGTCACTGGGCAAACTTCCCAGGAACACTGCGGGGCAGCTGTCATCAGCCCCAGACCTGCACAGACTCTGACAGTCTCCCTTTGGTTAGATAAGCACCCGGAAGCAGCTGCAAGAGAACTAGGACACCACAGATGGCTACACCCTGAAGAAAAAGAAACACCACCTTCCAGTCACAGTATCAGAACTGAAGCTTTATTTGAATGTGTTTCATTATTTTCAGAACATCACTGGCAACGAAAATCTTGTCTGCAAGGGGGATTTCTGTAACTAGAGAGTAAATAAAATAGAACAGACAGTAGTGGGGTTGTAACAATAATTACACCTTAAATATAAATACACATCAATATCCCAGAATATAAAAGTCATGCTCTGTAAATACTCTATCCACAGACTGTCTTTGTGGGGTACTGGGGTCCAGGATGGCTCTTCCAGGGTTTACATGTGTCCCGTTAAGTTATGGATATTTCCAAAGAGCTTATGTAGGAGCAACACATTACAAATTTTGAGAAAAGAAATTAAGTATCACAGAGCAGTTTTTTTAATTTTTAATATAATTTTTGTTCTACAAAGAATGAACATTTCTTAAATGTTACAAACAGTGAAACAAATAAACTAGCTTCCAGATATGTACAATTTACTACTTTATACTTCAAAAATGCAGGAAGATAAATTATATATATAATATATATATAATTTTAGATCTAATGAACAATTCAATATTGCTCTTGTGTTGGTCTTACTGTATTGCATGCATGCCCAGGGCACGCCCAATGGCTTGTCACAGGATGGAGGGACTGGTGGGGACAGAAGGGAACTCACAGAGCCCCATGCTTATTCCCAGAGTGCCATCTTCAAAGCAATACTTTGAGTTGTGTAGCTCTCTGTGGCTAGGTCGAAACCTCTGTGCCCCTATGCAACATAGGGCATGGACTCAAGAACCACAGTCACCTTTCAAAGGGCCACATAAATGCTAAAATCATCAGATCTGATGGAATTAACTCCTCAAGCCCTGAGTCAGTTGGGGACCTTCTAAAAGACTTCACTGAGACAATCACTGGTGCCCTCAGTTCAGTTCATGGAAAATGATCTTTGAACAGACCCATGATTGAGGCTTCAATTACCTCCTGTAAATTCATGGGCAAAACACAGAGGAACAAAAGGTGTCCTGAAAAAGATCAGATTTTCAGGAATCACAAGCTCTTCATATAGAATGAGGCTCTAAATGTTTAAAAATGTAGACACCAAGCTGGGAAGGTTAAAGGAAATTTTGACACATCAGTAGGGGTGGGGACGAGCTCGCCTCAGGAACTCAGGACAGCTCATCTCGTCTTGCTGTCAGCAAAGAGCCAACTGAGACTTTTAAATCCGCTCTTGGCCATCAAGCCCTGTGTCTTCATCTGCTCAGCCCACATCCAAACTACAAGCTGAGAGTATCTCTCTGAGAATAGAAAGAGGGGGGAAAATAGGGGCAATCAAAAAGCAAGCGATCTAGATTGTTTGCCTACCAGGTTTTATTGTGAGGGTTATGGAGCTGCCCCAAGGAACTGAGAAGGCCATAGTGGAGGTGGGGACCCGGGGGGGGCTGGAGGGACTTGGGGTCTGGAGAGGTACTCTGGTGCCCAGGCCACTGAGTCCCCCCTGCTCAGGGCTTATTCTCAGAGTCCAAGGCGGTGGCTAGACCATGAGACTTAGGATTCTCAAGCACCTCCACACACTCAAAACATCACAAGTGTTAGCAGGGCAGACAGGATGTGCAAAAGCAAGAAAATTTAACCAGAAAGGGGTAAATAAAGAAAAACAGGAGATGTTGAGGGAAGTGATTCCATGACTCTAACAGCAGCCCTGCAGGGGGAGGGCAGAAACTGCTCAGCAGGTGCAGAAGAGAGGAGCCCCAGGGTACTTGCAAATGTCCTGAACTTGACAACTCTACCCAGGCCAGCACTGCTCCCAGAAGGACAAGATGATTCCACAGTGAGGACCAGAGTGCGCCCTGTGGACTGGAACAAACAGAACTGGCAGCCTCCACCAGCAGAATTTTCAGGAAGCAGAGCAAAACCAGACGGGATGATGGTAGAGCCGTGCCACCAAGCAGAATGGGCTCTGTGGCAACTAGCAGCCCAAAGGCCAGTCTCTAGCCACTCATGCTGGAATTATCAGTGGTAGTGATTCGGATTGAAGGATTAAGTATGCACATGGATCACTGGGAGGAAAAGATCATTGTTTCCAGAGTAAACACAGCACTGAACCAGTCTTCCAAGACATCTGTAAGGAAACATGCATGATCATCTATTACTCGAACGCATTTCCCAGGAATATACTGGTGTTACAGATATATTGTGAAAAAACACAGTGAAGGACTTCTGTTTCAAAGTATTTCCTTAAGGTGCAAAGTATGGCATATACATGTTCATGTCATTTAGAAAATGGATGTGCTTCTGTTCTTCAATGGCCTTTGTTGGCTGTTCCCAGCTGGATACAGAGTTATTTAAAAGAAGAAAATTACCTTGGAGGACAAAAGAAATACCTAAAAATAGCTACTTTAATTGCTTTTATTTAAAATCTGAGAACTGGAAGAAGTTATACCCCAGATGGGTCAAAGGGAAGAAACTTCACATTTCTAAAAGCCTTGAAGAGAGGAACACACGAGGCTGGGCGGTGTCCTGGTAATGTCATGGCGTCCTCGCTCAACACTGAAGATGTCTCACAGAGCAGCACACACCTAGTAAACTCTGCATTATATGTGAAAATAAATACTCTAAAGGTTAAAATGGTACTTGCTTGTTAGATCTAGAGAGGAGAGCACATCCCTCAGGGTAGCAAGGCTCAGGGGTCAGCTGGGACTGACAGTGAACATCAACAGGGGAGGCTGGGATTTTATTTTCAGGTAAAGAACCACGACGGGAAAACTTTGGCCTCGTCGCCTCACCTCTTGCTGCACCTCCCTTCCCTCCCCCAATGATGTCCTTGGCTTCTGTGCAGGGGGCCCCTGGTCTGGGGGCGGTGCCTGCAGCCTCAAGTTCACATGCGCTTGCTGCAGGCAGGTGAAGGCGCCTCCTCTTTGCGCGTGTGCTCCCGCAGTAACCAGTGCTGCCTGGGCCTCCTGATGCCAAGTTACCCTCAGAAATGGCTGGCACCTCTCAGTTCCTTGAGGCCGAGGGTGGTTTTCACTTTCAATGTCTGGCAGGCTCCCTGATTTTGGAGAAGGGGGCTGGTTGGTGGTGCGTGGAATGCCCTCTTAAGGACAGAGGGCACATGTCGGTCAGAATGCAACATTGAACACGTGGGCATCTTACATGCTACCCTGACGACTGTGGGTTCACGTGGTGGGGAGGTGGGGCACGGGGACACGCAGCTGCTCCTGGGAAGGCATTCACATGATCACACATTTGCCCTTGAGCTTCTCTTTCCTCTTCTGCTGCTTACTCTTCTTCCCGTCGATCTGTAAGCTCACGGTCCTGCGCTTCTCCAGGTTGAGCAGCTCCTGGAAGAGCTCCTTCACGTTGTGGTTGAGCTTGGCCGAGGTCTCCATAAAGGCGCACTTCCACTTGCGGGCCAGCGCCTCCGCCTCGCTGCTCTCCACCTCGCGGTTCGGGCTCTCGTCACATTTGTTCCCCACCAGCATGATGGGGATGCTCTCCACATCCCCCTTGATCTCGCAGATTTGTTCGTAGATGGGTTTGAGCTCCTCCAGAGACTGCCGGCTGGTGATGGAGTAGACCAGGATGAATGCGTGGCCCTTGGAGATGGACAGGCGCTGCATGGCGGGGAACTGGTGGCTGCCCGTGGTGTCTGTGATCTGCAGGGTGCAGATGCTTTTGTCGCAGCTGATCACCTGCCGGTAGGTGTCTTCCACCGTGGGGATGTAGCTCTCCCGGAAGGTGCCTTTCACAAACCGCAAGACCAGGGAGCTCTTGCCAACGCCGCCTGCCCCAAACACGGCCACCCGGTAATCATTGCTCTGCTCCGGCATGTTGCTGGGGAGCTCCCGCTAGCAACCAGGAAACACCTAGCAAGGAACCAGAGGTTTGAGAGAATTAATAATAATAATAATAAAACTGCAAGAAAGACTGCTTTTGATCGCTAAAACAAGTAACCAAAATACTCGTTTGCTTACTCTCCCAACACAAGAACACCTCAAATTTCATTTGAAAATTTCTTAATTCTAAAGTCAATGAATATAGTCAATGCTCAGTTTTCAAAAGTCCAGTCGATCTCCTCATTGGCTACTGGGAGCCTGTCTGGTTCTCCATAATGGACTATGATCTAAGTATCCTCGTGCACAAATCACCCTTCATTTAGGGAAAGATGCCAAATAGGCAGGATGCAGTAAAGTTTATATTTGCAGTAGATATGTCTACCAGCTGACAGAACATCACATCAAAGCCTGGACTGGGGCCTCCCATCTTCTGATTTCACCATGTACATTTACCTCCAAGTCTGCTCAGTTAACTCAACTGTCCTCCTGCACACTCTGTATGCAAACCCACCAAGTTACTTGAAGTGTCAATGCCAAATAGGATATAGAAAGATATCAGGAGCCCATTAACAGCAAAAGACAGTGTGAAAGGCTGATTCCAAGTTTGATTAGTCTATTAAATGTTCATGAGATCATGACCAATTCACTAGTATGCCACAGTGATAAATTGTTCTATATTTTTTAAAATGCAATGGCATATGGGATCTAGTGTGAAGCTTTTCTCTGAATCCCCAATGAGAAGCTCTCTTTGTGCTTGAAAGACACTGTCCTCACCCAACACTGCCTTGTATTATGCTATTTAGCTCTCGACTGGAGTGTTAGCATCTAAACAAGCTCCATATCCCAAATTCCCGAAAAGAGCCTTTCATCTTCAACTCACACTCAGCCTGTGTTTGGTAAATCTGGTATCAGTCATGCTAGACAGTATTATAGTATCTCCAATACTTTAAAAAATATTTATTTATTTACGCATACAAGAACTGAGGCGCAGGCCAGAGATGCAGGGGATGAGGGGATTCACCAGAGACAGAGAGGGGAACAGAACAGGCAGATCTACTGAAATACACTGCTGAGGGGAGCAGCGGGCAAAACAGGAGAGGTCTGCTATGCCAAGTGAGTAGCTCCCTGGCTGGCCAGGGATCGAACTCCTGCTGCAGAGGCTGGGGACAGCTTCCCAGTGCTGTTCTCAACCCCTTGTGCCACCAGGGAGGCCCAATATCATCAGTATCATAGCAACTAAAATATAGAAAGCAAACACGACAAATAAAAAGGAAGAAACTGCTGCTATTCATTTGTCCAAGAAATATTTACTCAGTTTCCTATGAAGGCCAGGTTCTGGGACTCAGGATTAAGTGGAGCAGACAGGTATCAAAACTATAACTTCACAACTATAGTGATTAATAATTTTCATCACAACAGTGCTGAAAAAGAGAGGTTAAAAGGAACCTAATCAAGCCTGGGATATTAAGAATGATTTCCTTATAGAGGTGGCATAGCACCAGGAACTCAAAAGATACATAGGAGACAGACAGGAAAAAGTGTAAAGACCAATGTGAAGTTATAAGGTAGGTTTGGGGCATAACTCCACACTGATCCTCAACTCTAACATTTTTTCCCAAACTACAAACTATCTTCTTTTACCTCAAACCCATTCATTCACCTTACAAGCATTTATAAAACACTTTCTGGATAATATACAAACTTGGTGCTCATCCAGTAGAAGCTCACAGAATTAGAGAGGCAGAGGAAAGCATTCAACACCCCACCTAGTAGATGTGTGTAAAATCATAATTTTTTCCAGGAGAAGCTGTTGGGGTATGTTGTTCTATCTGGGCACTTGGGAAAGATTTCACAGAGGACTGGGATTAGCCATAGAGTGAAGCTATAAAAAGCATGATAAAAAAAGGTCCTCTTGGAGAAGAACATGGGCAGAAATACAGCCAATATTCATAGGAAAATTGTGATAGCAGGTGAGAGTTGGCACCATTAATCAAGAGAGAAGGTAGAAAAGTAAGTTTAGAGTAAAGATTATACACCGTGAGGAGGAAGAAGCCATGATGTGGTCAGGTTTGCAGGACAAACAAGTCATATCTGATAGGTGATTGAGTTTTAGTTTTGAAGCTCAACAGAGAAGTCCAGTCTAGTGGAAAATACTTGGGTATCATCTCTATATAAATGGCACTACAATAAAAATCACCCAGGAAGAAAGTATGTAGCATGAGAGAGGACCAAATGCCAGTAATGTACCCTATAATAACACTAAAAAGTTACTTAAACTTCCTGAGCTAGAAAAATAAGATAATAACACCACCTTCTTCACAGAGTAGCTATGGGGATTTAGGGAGACCGTACAAGATAAAGTCAGTTCCACTCTCTAGATAATTTCAGTAAGGACTAAGCAGAAATGGGGGTCACAAAGGACTGGTGGTGGGGTGTGCAGAGAGAAGGTAACAAAATTCCAAGTGACCAGTCAATGTCAAGAAGACCCTGAGGGAATTCACTTAAAGCAGTACTTAGAGGGTGTTTATACTACAAGCACATTACTGATCCCAAATCAGTAACCTCACCTTCTACCTATGAGGGAAAATGGCAAAATGAAGACAAGAAAAGGAAAATAAAAGGGAATTGAGATTACAGTGAAGGTTTATTTAAAAAAGAATAAAAGAAAAAAAAAGAATAGAAAAATCAAAAAACCCAAAAGTTCTTGGAAAAATAAGCAAGATTAATAAATTTTTGCTTGTTTGACAAAACAAAATGATGAGGAAACTCAATTGATTAAAAAGAGGCAACATTACTACTGATCTTACAGATATAAAAAATATTTAGGGGGCTCCCATGACCAATGTATGCCCCAAAGTTAGATAACTTATGAAACAAACTACCAAAACTGACTCAAGAAAAATAAAAGCTCTCAATAGACCTGTAACAGGTAAAGATTGTAATTAGGAATCAAAAACCTACCTACAAAGAAAAGTCCTGGTTCAGATGGCTTCACTGATAAATTCCAGCAATCATTTCAAGAATAATTAATACCAAGTCTTCACAAATTCCTCCCAAAAATTGAATAGAAAAGAATACTTCTCACTCTTTCTGAATCCTATATTACACCAGGCAAAGCTATCACAAAAAATTACAGACCAGAATTAGGCAAGAAAATGCAATAAATGGCATCTTTCTCTAAAGGGGCGGGGAGAAGGAACCAATCTATCTTTATTGCAGATGACATGACCATAGATGTAGACTATCCTAAAGAATATACAAAAACAAACTATTAAAGTTGAAAAAGCAAGTTTTTAAAATACAATATTGATATAAAAATCAATTGTATTTCTACACATTTCCAAAGACCAATCTAAAAATGAAATTAAGAAACCAATTCCATTTATAATAACATGAAAAAAAGAATTAGGTATTTAGGAAAAAATAACAAAGAAGTACAAAAATTATTGAAAGAAGTTGAAGACATAAAAATTGGAAAAACATTCAAGTTAATGTATCCAAGGACTTAATATTAAAATGAGAATATACCCCAACTCAGTTACAGAATTCAATGCAATCCTTATAAAGATCCCACTGACAATTTAATAGAAACTGACAAAATGATTCCAAAAATTTATATTAAAATTCCAGGATTCCATAATAGTTTAACTATGTTACATTTTTTGAAAAGAACAATTTAGAGGACACATACTTCCTGATTTCTAACTCACTACACCTCTACAGTGTGGTGCTGGCACAGGATAGACATACAGATGAATGGAAAAATTCAGAGTCCAGAAATAAGCCCTTGTATTTACAGTCAATTGATTTTTGACAAGGATGCCAAGAACACTGAAAAGAGAAAGAACAGTCTTTTCAACAAATGGTGCTGTGACAACTGGACACCTACATACAAAAGTTGGACCCCTCCACATCATATATAAAAATTAACTTAAAAGTGCAAAAAGACATAAATGTAAGACTGAAAACTATAAAACTCTTAGAAGAAAATATTGACATACATTTTCATGGTTTCTTAGATGTGGCACTGAAAGCATGAACAGTAAGATTACAAGTAGGTTAACTGGATTTCATCAAAATTTAAAAATTTTGTGCCTCAAAGGGCACTATTAAAATTATAAGAGAGCCCACAGAATGGGAGAAAAAAAATGTTCACTTCATGTTATATAATAAGGAATAAATTCCAGGATATAAAGGAAACTAACTCAACAACAAAACTGAAACAATTAGAAAGTGGGCAAAGGACTTGGATAGATATTTCTCCAAAGAAGTTGTGTGATGGCTAATAAGCATAAAAAAAGGCGCTCAATATTATTAGTTATTAGGGCAGTAAAATAAAAATCACCATTAAATAACACTTCATAACCACTTGAAATGGCTATAATTTTTAAAAAACACAAACAAAAATCAAAAATAACAAATGTTGGTAAGGATGTGGAGAAATTGGAAATTTCATGCTTTGCTGATCTGAATGTAAAGTGGCTAAGCTTCATGGGAAAACATTCCATTATTTCCTTAAAACCTTAAACATAGAATGACCATATGACCAGCAATTGCCTTTCAAATGTATTTTCATGAGAAAAGAAAACACAGCCAAGCAAAAACTGTAAATGAATGTTCATAACAAAAATATTCTAATAGCCAAGAACTGGAAACACCCAAATGTCCACCAACTAATGAATGGTAAGTAAAATGTGGGTGGTATATCCATACAATGAAATATTACTCAGCAATGAAAAGATATGTGGTACACATACATGCTATAGCATGGATGATTCTTTAAACATTGTGCTAAGTGAGAGAATCCAGAAGCAAAGTGGGCGCTGAGGCAAAGAAAGTAATGGACTGGAAATAGGTGCAGGGTTTCCTGAGGAGTGATGAAATGTATTAAAGCCTATTGTGGTGATGACATCAAGCCCTCTGAGTACACTAAGTACATTGGGTAAATCATGTCCCGATAAAGCTGTCATCATGGAAAAAAAAAAAAAAGACATTTGGAGGGGTAGTACTCTGTTCTATATGATATTATT